AGTGCACAATACACTGCAAGAGAGACGCCTCGTCCTCTGTCCCCGGCAGAGACAGTCCAGGTTGTTTCTTTTTAAAGGGGACATATTATGCAAAATCAAGTTTTTAATCATTTGATTATCTACATTTGGGACTGTGGAGGGCCTATGAGCAGGCAAAGTCATGTTTTTGTGGGCCGCCTCAGTCTGAATCCAGGAGATAAATCAGGAGGTTTCAGGAGTGGGTAGTTTCTGACGTCATTAGCTCTAGCTCATTATAATATTCCAGCCTTTCACCTGCATGTTGCCCCCCCCCTCAGCTTACTCCCCTATCTGTGGCAGACGTCGTGGTAGCGTGAGCGTTAGCATGGTAGCGTTAGCATGGTAGCGTTAGCATGGTAGCGTTAGCATGGTAGCGTTAGCATGGTAGCAATAGCATGGCAGCGTTAGCGTGCCGACGTGGGCACACCTCCCTGAAGAAGTGGGTGGATTGCCTGTGTCTCATTTGCATTTAAAGAGACAGGCACTCCAAAGCGAGCGCTCTGAACGGGGCTGTTTTGGCAGGGTTAGGGTTAGGGTTAGGGTTAGGCAGGGGGACTGAACTGCTATTGGGCTTCCTCCTTATGGGATTTTGACCAAAGCTTGTCACAGACATTACATTAGGACACCAGGGAACTAGCTTAACTTGTTGAAATAAGGTACAATATGTCTCCTTTAAAGGGTGGGGCACCTGCTGTCCGGGAGGCAAATCGCTGCATCGATTTCCAATAACAGGGAAAAAGACACCAAGAAAAGAAAATACACTGCCATCATCATCTATTAGAGCTGAGGAGCTCAGCACTTTGATCCCGGTTGCCAGGGAAACCTTTCATCCCCAAAACTAGCATCCCTTTTAGGACTGTGACTCTACCTAGCACACAGGGTTTATGTCTGACTACAGTTTGGGCCTCAGCGGCTTCCACTTGGACATGAAACTCCGGGAAAGTGCCCCCCCAGGGAATAACACCCGGGGTATTTACTGTAGTTCTGGGAAAGTCGTAGACCCACCTCCCTGGCACTCCTCCCGGCTGGTGTTGAAGCCGGCGTTTCCGTTGACGAACTGGCAGATGGAGTAGAGGCGGCAGCCGCGGTGACAGGCGTTCATTACGGAGTCCTGAAACCCAGAAAAAGGTGAGCAGCAGAATTACAGACGTCTCCGGCAGGATCAGATAAACTCAACATGACCCCGTTTGGAGATGTGACACAGATTAACCCTTTAAAGCCTGATCCAAGAACAAAACAAAACAGAAAATTACTTTTTTTTATTTTTTATTCCTTATTTGGCCTTTTAACAAAATATGTAAAAAGAAAAAACAGAAATACATTTTTTATATTAATCAAGATTATTTTTTGTGTAGTCTTCTGCCCCCTGTTATCAGGTGTATCTGATTGTGTACAATAGGATTTTGAGCAAAATTTTTACCATTAAATAATGCAAAAGGTGTCAGACACAAAACATTTCAGAAACCGTATGAATCAAATATGATACATTTGGCATTACAGGGTTAAGTTGATATCAGATCCATTGAATAAACAGTTTTAGTATCACTTTACTTGAAGATTCTTCTAGTTTTCCTTGTTCAAATCTTA